AGTACGGTCTGTACAGACTGTGGCAGCTTGGATAAGAAGAGTTCTCTAAAACGTCCTTCATCGAACTGACTTTGGCCAATAACCTTTCTCGTTCTTGTCAGCATGCTCACGGCTGACTGATCTCCTAACTCGATGTTACAAAATAATTCGTCCAGACGTTGTCGGTCCGTGAGAACGTTACTCCTGAGGAGGGATGCTTTGAGCAACTCGCACGAGTTACTTACCTCGGGACTCAACATCTGTGAAGTTACGTACTTGCTGAATTCCCGCGGTAGGGCGTGAAGAACTGCAAGGAACTGTGAACGTTGATCGGTTATCCCATGCTCACAAAAATCTGCTTCAGCTATCTGAAACCGCGTTTCAGCATTATCTGGCCAGTATGGTACGAGCTGAATGGTTATAGGAGTTGAGTGGATACGAATGACCTTGGGACTGAGATCACTCATGACGAAAATTGTGTCGAATAATACATGGTACAAGAACAAATACAAAATGGAACGAACTCACCGGGGTTATCTGCGTATTTATCGTAAATGAAGTTCGCGGTTGGGCTCACCAGTTTAGAGATTGACGGTATAGACGTTCGCGAAGAGTACAAAGGTATATTAACGCAAGTTCTTACACCCACAACTTCCAATGTATTTCAATCTCGCGTAACAAAAGCAAAGCAAAAGACAGTATTTGATCGTCCAAGTTAAGCTAAAACATGGGAAGACCATCATGCCTGAAGGAGCGATTATATGGCATATCCCCTTTATGAAACTTTGTGAAACTCATAAACTGTTGCACTACTTTTGCAGGCAACAAGGTGTTTCCTCAATAAAGTGAGAATAGGATATTTCGGCTGCATAAAACAAATAAGTGGTATCCTGGCAACACCAATGACAATAACAAGTCTAAGAAGTATTCATTACAACTTTTACTTTACTAAATACTCCAGCGGAATATAAATAAACACTTGACAAACATTAAATTTATACAGCAAGCCAATAAGATTTAGTAAACTAAAAGCACTTTTGATTTCCATAGGAGTTCTGCATGCCGAATTTATTACTTCAAGGTCCTACACAGATTACAACTTCGATTAAATAATACTGACGTGGAAGAGCTTTCATTCTAAATTACTGAACTTAATGAAAAGAATCATGTTAAGTAATTCCCGTATGCTGTTAGATTTTCTACTCTGAAAACAGGAGCATTCGTAATTTTTTACTTTATGTAAATGCAGTTACATACAGTTGCACTAAGAACTCAGTGCAACTTGCTGCACAATAGTATATATATGCAAACAAACCTTCTGAACAACTTGTCCTTATTCCAGGATAATAACTTTCTTTCACCTACGAGCGTAAGTTATGTCTACGAAATCGCAATATTACATCCATGAAACCTTCTTCTAAAACCAAGGCCACTTGAAACCCATAGCAACAAGCATCATAGCGGGGATATGCAATGAAGCCATTCGCTCTAAAGAAGTAATTAATCCAAGTTACTGAATGTCAGACTCGATCTCTTCACCACTTTAATCAATTAAACAACGGTCATAGGAATTAACAGCGTCATTACATCAACAACTGAAATTAACACATGATATTTGCAAGGATTTAGTTTAGGACCATTTACTAACTCTTGATAGGAAGCTGTTCATCTTAGTACAGTCGAGCTGGGAGTTAACAGGCATTGAAACAGTTAGGTCATCCGAATACTTAACAAAGTAGATATGCAAATACTGCAGTTTTTAACCACAGAAATGATGGATATCAGATAACATCACATGATTCACAGCATATTAGAAATAAACAAAAATTGTTTCCTAGATCATCGCCAAGTAAACAGTCTATTTGATGATGTCACTGAATATTAACCCTAGGTTACTGCATTTATTCTCACTACAGACTTGGTGTTTAGCATTACGCAGACTTTCAGCTCGCTAGCTAAGGCGACTTTGGTGTATCGAACAGTACAGAATTATTATTCATCTTGCTAAATCCTACTTAGTTTTTACGAAGGGCTATTTTATGGAAACAGACGTGAAATCCTATGAATGACTAAAGTAACCGTCTCATTAGACTACATAACGTCTGCATTCCACTAAGCTTAATCCAAATTAACGTAATACGAAAGCTTCATAGTATACTGACGCACTGAAGAAGTCCAGAAGAAGTAGAGATTAACAGTATATAAAGCATTTCATTAATTTACAAAAGAAAATTCCAATGAAGGGCACCAGCGTTAGCTTGACCAATTCACGTTTTCTCTGATTTCGTATTCGACAGATGCCATACACCTAGAAAAAAGTAAAGCACATATGGGGACTAGAACAGGTTATAAAAGCTAATCTTACATACAAGTACGGAAAGCGGATGCACTGATTTTATCAATACTAAATACAATTCCCAAGCAAATGAGGGTATTTGTAATCCACAGTTGATTTTTATATTGACACCGTAAGGATAAACAGACCCCATATGTTTTCCAGTACTAGAGGATTATACGCAAATTTCAACCAATCTCTGTAACATCCATACTGTTGAGGCGTCATTCTCTCATCAAGATTACTTGCAGACCAACTTCACACTAAATACGTTTACATTAAAACAATTATAGCAAATATGTACCTTAGAAATTAATCCGCAACCTCAGTAATGTCTATTGAACATGGTTTGTGGATCCTACAGTAATTACATTCTCATATTTAGGAAACTATGCCCGTCAAATATCAGCCGAACATGCCTCGACTCTGAACAGCTGTGTTAACAGTGTTTATGCACAGTGTTAACGGCATAGAGAAAATTAGAATATTGCAAGATACACAGGCCTGTTTTGCTGGTGAGGATAATGATGTCATATAAGGCAACCTAGACATTCAATCGTGATGCTGCATCTGTACTGGGTTACGTGAGTGGAAATATCAAGTATAATTCATCTCCACTCTTGGTGATCAAAACATTGCAGCATTGATTATTTAGTGTCAGTAGGAATTGTATAACAGACAGTAGATTTCATACATTTATTCCCCTTAATGAATTTGAACAATGCAAGAACTACAGTTTTAGCAGTAGATTAATAATAATAATAAAGCTGACTAGATTCAGTTTTCATAATCACCACAGTCCATTTGTATTATCATACCACATACTGAATTAATGCATTAAGAGAAGAATTAGGGAAATTAAGACAAATAATTGCCTTCTCCATTGCGCTGCACTTGCAATAATCCTGAGAACCGCCTACATTTGTTAGCCTAGCGGACAATGGCACAGTATTGATAAAGTAGAGATTTTTTATATTGAATCCACAAAACTCATATCAAACTGAACCAATCAGTGCAAATTTATATTAAATTCACTCAGAGTTAACCACTTGGCTTACGATAATCCCTGCTAAAACACACATACGGTGAAACACACATATCAATGTATTTGAAGGCTGAACGATCAATTCATGGTTGTTTGCTCAAACCCATCTCCTTCATATTTTTCGCGGGAGTCATCAGTTCACCAGTCATCGTCTCATCGTTCGCTGTTCGGTGGAAGACAGAAACCTATCAGAAGTATTATCGTGATTTATTGTTACAGCATTTATTCTTAGACCTTGTGTGTAATAACCTTGTTGTTGGTTACATATTGGTGTAAGAATAAAGGATTCTCGAGTCGACAATCTGTGTTCTGGTTTTTCGCGTTGGTTATAACAATTTTTTCCTGAAAGTCTTCCAGGGACAGCGTGAGGTCCAGCGTAGTAAGACCTGGACATTGACAACACATCTGCACGAAAACTTATGTTTCCACAGAAGGTTCTGTTAGCATTTACAGGTGATTTTCATGTACTGATAGCACTCTTTTGTCAAAAAGGAATGTTCTTCAAGCGAAAATGTACTGCATTGATGACCTGAGATGTGAAGTTTTCAATGAATGATACTATGCCGAAAGGTGCTGCTTCTACATACAGTAAACTATTTTTGTAGATGACACTACTCTCCAACTATCCCGTCTTGCTCATTATAGCGCTATTTTGACACAGTCCATCCGAAACACTAGTCATTGCAACCAATATGCTAAGAGTGTGTCGCAGTTAGACCACATGACGCGGACACTGACATGGCTTGCCACGAAATGAGAATCTCCATCAATCCAGTTAACATAACACAATTTTATTATGACTTGATGACTAAATCTTTTCCGAACGAAATTTCAACCAACATGACATATAAGCTCAGCCAGTTCCCCTCCTAGGGCGAGGACAACTGCAGGGAACTGTGAACGTTGAACAGTTAACCCAGACTCAGCTATCTGAAACCATGATTCGGCACTATCTGGTCAATCTGGTATGAACTGAATAGTTTTGGTAGTTGATCGAATACATTAGGAGTATAACCACTCATGGCGGAATATAGTTGAAAAACAGCACAGGAACAAATACAAAATGGAAAGAACTCACCGGATTTTTCTGTGTATATACCAAAGATGAAGTTCGTGATAGGCATCATCAGTTTATAGGCTAAAGGTATTGACATCCGCGGATAGTACGAAGCATACTGACGCAAGATCTAATACCCACAACTTCAATAGTATTTCTTCCGCGTAGACCAAAGGCAAAGCGAAACACCAGAATTGATGGTCGAAATTATGAGATAAATTTCGGGATCAAATCGAAGTGCGAGATGATTGCTTAACTAGATCGGTATCGTGCACGAACAAACGTGACAGGGCGGCACGCCATATAGCGTTGACGCTTGACTGGAAGCCTTCAGCTAAACAGGTTGACTTAAACATTGTGGGTCAGCATCCATTGCCCAGTGATGAATGCTGTGGCAAATAATTCTGGGGATTTACTAACATTCATTTAGTTGGACCATCCATCTGAAGTGATCCACATTACTTTTAATGCGCTTAGGGGAGTGAAAGCCATTGTAACATACAAGTTGCAAGGTGTCACTTTTTCTTGGAAAAAGCAATGACATATATTGAAATTAGTTAAGTTTAAGCCGCTCAAAATGAGTAATTTTGGAACAACGTGATTTGAATCTTTCGCTAATGTGTATCTGTTCTCGGTTTCCATCACTGTAAAGTTCACTTTGTTTACACATGGATTGTTTTACTGTGACTTTTTTAAATGCTACTGTTTTCCACACGATCAACTGCCCAAACTTACAATACTTCTAAATTAATTCTGAAATATGGGTCGATAATGCATTTTTATGGTAAATGAATATTATATCTATCTAAAATGAACCCACTGTGCTGATTTAAGTCTTCTTGCTCTGAAGTAATGCTATTCAGTACTGAATCCTGTGAAAGAGGCTACAGTCAGTTTCTAGGGCATGATGAGTTCCTGTGTCGGCTAGTTATATGTTTTCGTGAATTCGTTTTCCATTGAATTTTAAAGGTTTTTCTGGATGTTTTGCTCATTTTGCAGTGTGTAGGTCAGTTTTTGTCACTGGGTGCTACTATTTAGCTCATTTTTAGCCTGAAGTTCACAGTTATTATGTTGGTAGTCAAAGATTATTGTAAACCTGCAATCATTGAGCTAATCAACGTATACTATGCTAATATAGTAACATAGACTATGCTAATAATAGTAACAGTAGACTCCCTTACTGTTTTGCCATTGTTTGACAGCGAAACTTTGCGCTCATTTTTCAACATGAGTGGCACTAAATCGAACCTACTGGGTTTGCTTATCAACGTTGTTCCAGCCCTCATAGGACATATTAAGCATGGACTAGCGTTACTCCAGAGTGGAAAGTTTTGACTCAGCACGCAGGTGTCGTTTTAAGCACGACCTGTGTCATTTCAGAACATAGTGGGTAAATATGATCTTCAGTTACCGTAGAAAGGCATTATCGAGGAATAGGCTACAATAAATTTAGAATTGTTTTAAGCTTTGGTGGTGCTGCGGTCTAAGTGATAAATCGTATTAATCACTGTTATTCAAGATATGCTATGAACCGGAAATCCTCAGCTGAAAAACATATGAATAAGACACAGATCGGTGTAATTTATAACTGACTCCAAATTGCTCTCATCACGAAACAATCAACCAAATTACACTTTAAACTGTCGCTCTCAGCCATTTTAAGGGGAATTTACTTGATTTATACTGACCTAGTATGCAAAAATCCCACAGGTCATTGAATTGACAACTTAAAAAAGTAGATTAGTTGATACATACATTTATCTATATGTACTAATTAAGGATACATTGAATTTTTAGAAATTGTAGTTAGATTTTATTCGCCTAGTAATCAAAAATGTATACATCCTATTTTGGACTTAAAATAAATGCATCGAAATTATTGTTGATTTATATTCACTTACTAGACATTCTCATACATCTTAATGTACTTTAAACACCACCGATGCATCCAAATAGCGTGTGACTATCACACTGCACTCTTACCAGAAAAATTAACACGCCATTATATTATGGTAAGGTAAGCCCTTAATCATACTGACTGTAAATTTCCGTGTCAAAATAAAAAGATTACCGCTTTAACTTATATTTTAGACCAATAGGAAGCCAGCTAGCCAACAGCCAATCAAAATCTGCCTATATCTATTTTCGGTTCTGATCTACTGCTGAAAATACCTAGAAAAAATACAGGGTGCTGAATTAGTACCAGTCATGCTGAAAATCAGTACTGTGTTCTAGTTTGTACCATTAAAGTGTCCATTTCAGAACAGAGTTAGAATTTACTTACTATAGAATGTTAGAATTATTTCAGAACTAGTGAGATTTAATTCAGCATCACAGTAAGCTTGGGTGTTTGTTAGACATTATTTTCAAGTAATTTGAGAGCCTTATACACACACTGGATTGTAGCCACAGTGAAACTGATTATCAGCGTATTGTGATATGTTAGTTTTACGTTTTTTAGACTGAAGTCCGAGAAGCTGAACTAAAACAGCCACTACAATCTACATGAATCATAGGGTACCTTATAGTGTCAATGGTGCACAGCTGACTTTGAGTGACTAATCAAATTTTAAGGGTGAAATTGTTAGTGAGGTGGCTATAGGTCGTATTTTTCTTATGTTCACATGTATTTTTGATCATGTTTCCTAATCTGCCTGAAAAATCCAATTCTCCCAAAAGCCCAATTATTATAATTTTAGCTTTAGCCGAATTCTATTCTGTTTTAACAATCTTGCGATGCTGTATTTATGACTAATAATGAGCCTCTTTCCCAGAAGTTATTTATTGCGATTGTGATTTCTTTTCAGGAAGATAACTTGTTCAGTGTAAGTTGTTGATGCATTTCTATTTACCAGCAAATTTGATGGTGGGTGACTGCAATGAGCAACACTAATGACTTAATTGTCGTTTGTCTATGCAAATACTTTCACCTTTTGCAAGCCAGCACACAGTTTATTGTTAAGATGTGGACGGTGGAGTGCGTAAAAAGTGCTCTAAAATTTGCGAATCAAATGGAAGATGTAGGGATTTTAAAAGTTTAGCTATTTTTTAGATAGTCGAAAATCTTACAGAAGATGAAACCTTGGCAATACAATGTTTCCTTGAGAACATCAGCACTATTTTCCCTCATTGTTCATCAAGTATTCATCTTACTCGGCTAAGAAATGCTGTAGACGTTGTTATTGAGGTTAGTTTAATATATACATCCAAGTATTTTTACAAGGTATCTGTTAATTACATGATGTTAAGTAGAGATGCGGCTGGACAGCGTGAGCAATCGATATTCTTCTGCGAATCACGGGTTCGATTCCTTCTCCACATACTTCAATGTAGGCGACTGAATAATATCATTGTCCTTCACACAATACGTGTGACTCTTAGCCTGGTACATGAAAGATTTGTTGCGGGTAACTCAGTTATGACAGTAAAATTTCCAACAGTCGGACTTTTAATTTCTCGCTTCAGTATGTGTTTGAAACTTAAGAACATATACAGCACGCACCACATCGCACAAAAGTGAATGAAGCTACTGATCTCCCCTTTCATTCTATTTACGATGTTTGTTTTAATACCACTTGAAACGAGTTAATGTCTATGTTCGATATATATTCTTACTGTCATCTGTATAAAATTGCTTTCTGTCAACACATTGGTTGTCATTCTAGTGTAGTATTTTATCGGTTTGATTGATTTACAACTGAACAACAACAAGGAGATATCAATGTATGCCTCTAAAATTTTAAATAGTATCCTTCTTCTACCATCTCTATGCGGTACTTCAGCTACAGAGATGCGTACCAGCCAGAAACTTTGCATTACGGTCATACAGTGAGTGGTTGTATAACTTCGATTAGGAATGCTAACTACCTGGCACGTACTGATGTGTTGCCATTAGTCAGAAATATCATTTACAAATGTGATCGATGAGGCTTTGTATATCAGTCTGGAAGTCATGATCATTTTTGTTTCTCGAAGAACCGAATTTGGTTCATTTTTTATGAGAATTTACCTACTCCGATTTTTGACTATATCCCTAGATAGCATAACACGACTTTCGTGGATGCATAATGTCCAACGTAATGATGATCATACTTTGCAGTTGATTTTATGATTTATATTTTATCTCTGATTACCGGATCATTTTTGTTCCATAAGATGCTGTTGTTAGTTTCTGTCTTTTAATGGGATAACCTCTAAAGTCATTGTGCATATCTATCTATTTCCGATATTTTGAAACACAACATGGTATGTAGAAAGAACACATATTTTAATGTATAACTCTTAGAATCCCAAGAAAATCTCCTGTCGTTACCGTAACTTTTTAGTGTACTTCAGCTTGAGGTTTCTGTTTTATTCCATCTTTTTTTAGAATTTATGCAACAATCCGTATCTTTCACAGAGTAGTCGAGATTGCATATTCGAATACTGTTTGGATACCAATCGTAAAGTATTTCATCTATTTATATATAAAAGTATTTTATTTGCCTAGCTACCTCAGTTTGATAAATACTCTTCTAAGCTTCATTTTATACCGGAAAGTTTACTATCGGTTATTGAATGCCGTTTATTTGGTTCACATGTCTCATCATTAAACAATGAAAATCAAGTGGAGAAATTTCTAGACTCATGTTTTTTGCTGGATAGTAAATATACCATACACCTGCTTGTGCGTGTACTAGAGCAATCAATACATTGTGAAGAGACGGATGCATTGAATAAAATCATAATCCCCTGGTTATATATTGCTATTCAAAAAAGTGACAAGGCGTAAGTTATGCTATTAATCCCATGTATTTTGATTTTTGGGTTGTTACAAAGGAGTGTTAAGTATATATTTGCGAGTGACAGTAGTTTCTGTTTTCTAAATCAGCAGAAATAAAGAGAGGTTTGACAACTCGTTGTATATGATTGTGTTGAGTGGACTGGATTTGTTTTGTAGCGATTCACTAACTACTAGTCTCACTATTGACTATTTTATTTATATTCATATAATTGAAGTATTTGCATAATTTCTCATATCTCCATTCACTTCTGCACATTCCTCAATAGGTGTGAGTATAATATTCTTACTTTATTAGTTAGTTTGGCTACCAAGTTTCGAATGATAACATATTTATTCTTCCCTCTGTTAGTATACACAAGTTTTCAAAGGTTTAAGTGGGTTTATTTGAGGGGAAATTAATCTCCTGACTTTTCAAAACAAAAAGCGAAATTGGTTCTCCAATGCTTATGTTTCAAGGAAGTTATTAAAATGAGTGTTTCATGGTGTAGAGACAGGAAGAGTGTAGGAGTAATGACTATGCATTAACGAAAATATATGGGTATGCGATCCATCTACAGTTCTCGAGTAATATATTGCATATTAGTAGTCTCATTCTGTTTTTTAGACCTAGAATAACATGAACTTTCTGCTCACGTGATTTCCTCATTGATCCTGTGCGTCAGTGGCACAGTGGTTAGGACTCTCGCCGACCATGTACTTGGTCCGGGGTTCGAGCCCACACCGACGCACACCTGATATCTATGGTCGGCCTGCGAATTCTGGGCTACCGATATCCACGCTGAAAGTCCCACACTTGTACCAAAATACGGTGTGGAATCAAGATGTAATCAAAAATATAAATAAATAAATAAAAATTTTATCGAGATAAAAGTATGTCCAGTTTGAGGGGGAATCTTGTCATAAAATATAAGAAAACAAAGACAATGTAATCATCCTTCAGTCTCAGCGTCGAAGCTATGCGAATCTTTTGTAAGAAAGCCTCCTGCGTATCTGGAATGCGCGTGGGTTTAATGTTGAGTTCGATTGGAATCCAGTAGGATAATGCGTAATTTTTTTAGTGAAAAGCTATTCATACATGGCTGAGTTATGTTTCTGTGCATGGATATGCGTATTTATTCACATGTTATCTCTTCAATTATTTTCATTAATGAAGTGAATGTAATTTCGCTATTATCAGGAGGAATACATTCTCCAAGTATATGTAAGACTAAAGGTTCCGATAATACTGACTGAATAAAATCAGTTCTACTAACATATCCATCTCCATCAAAATCTAATAATGTGAGCGCCATGTCAAGTATATCCGCATTAAATTGGTTAGTATCTTCACTTGGCAATGGCGTTACCAAAGCTTCCCTCAAGTGTGCCTTAATGTATGCTTTATCTAAAAAATTACATTTCTTCTGATCATGAACAGTGAAGACAAAATCAGCTAATTTTTGAAGATCAGTTTCGAAAAATATTTTCATTACATAAAACCAGTTATTATAGGTGAATACCTTATCTGCTGAATTGGACGATAATGATGACGATAAAGACGTAGGAACAGAAGGTGACATGGACAAAATGGTGTAGAAAATCTTTTCACTTATTTCACTATCGGTCATGTTGAAGAATTTGAACATAATGTCTTTAAATATTGCTAAATTTATAGGTGAATTATATTTCTGGATAATTTTATGGTACATATTTGAAAGAAGATCCTTTTCTTCCTTTTCTATGAGCTTTCTGTTGCAAGAGTGATTGGCTTTGTTATAAGTCATTGTATTTTCAAATGTATTATCTCTCATCAAGTATAAGACTGGGTTAAAAAAAGCATATGATTCACTATGCTGATCAATTAATCTATTGATTTGTATAATTTAATTTAGACTTCCCCACCTCTCTAATAGTTTGATGACATTGTTATTCTGAGGTAGTTTAAGTAGCGTTACATAGAGTCTATCCTTTTCCTCTCTTTCCGAGAAATTCCTAATGCTATTTACCCAAAGAGATTGTGAAGGAAAAGGCGAACAATATAAAGTAACTCCTTTTTAGAAACATTTATTTCCCGATAAGAATTTAAAACGAATTAAAAACTAAAAGTAATAAAGCAGGATTTAGTGAATTCATCAGATTTCAGTAGAAATCCTCAGCTGGATACTGTACATACCTAAATAACAATTACTTATCAGTGAGTGAAAGAACTCGAATATATCAGGAATTGCAAACTAAATAGTACCGACAATAATAGTAATGCTAATAATAGTAACAATAACAATAATGTTAAAACGAGTTAAGATAATGGTAATGAATAAAAGGTAGTTTTATGTGAATCAGAAATAGTTCTTAGGGGTGTAATAAAATATAGAAGAAAATACCAATAATAATAATAACGTTTAATAAGTAAAACACTCTTTTCTGTTCGAGAAGAAATGTATGGATGCTATGCTCATCTGAAAGCATCCGCGCATCATCCTAGATAAGTTAGTGATATTAGCCGTCATTTGAACTGTTGATAGAGGTGTACATACTTCTCAATGTATATTTATATTGTGAATGACTCTTCTTGAATATTTACACAAACTGAATTGCTTCCCTATGTGAAAAATTCTTAGGGGTAAAATTAATTCTAATTTTAGTTTGCCTCCCTCACCATGTATAGTGTAGTGTGTGTAGTTAATTACTGCAAATTGTTTAGCTTGTCGCTTCGTATGTAGACTCCTGTACGTTGTTTTCCTTAATTTATACATATTTTGTGTTGTACTAGGTACATTTCTTTGGCTTCATATAATCATGAATGCCTGCGCGATTTGACTGTACAGATTCCTGAGTTTGGGAAGGTAATTTTAAAACTATTTGATGAAACAAAACATACACAAGTAAGTTGAGTTTTTCAGCTTGTTCTGTGCTGTTGGAGTTCTGTACCCAGTGCATCCTTTATTCTCTCCAGAATGATGCGACTTAGTATTTTACTTGGCGTTGACAAAAGCATTATTCCACGCAAGTTCTTGCAGAGGCCAGGTTGCCCTTCTTTGTGAGTTTGATGAGGTAGCCCTTCTTCCAATCAGTAGGTATCTTTCCTTCTTTCTAAACTTTTTGCAGTAATGGAGTGAGAATATTTGTCGTGATCTCTGATGCCGGCTTCAGTGCTTCAGGAGAAATAACGTCTGGTCCTGCTGCCTTCTTAGATTTCAGTAGCTTTATCGCATTCGGGACTTCTGCTTCCGTTGGAGGATTGGTGTCCACTGGCATTTCCATGTGTGCTGTTGGTGGTATTTCTGGGCGAGTTGCCGGTGGTGGTCAATTCAAGAGTCCCTTAAAATGATCATCCCATTGTTTTATTTGTCTCTGCTCCTTGGTAATCTAGTTTCCCTGAGCATCTTTTATTGGTTCCATCATCTGGGTTGATCGCTTCCTGCATAGAGACCTTGTTATCTGATATAGTGTCCTAACGTCTCTTTTACCTGCAGACTGCCTGTTCTGCTTCAGTTGCGAGTGTGTCGTAGAGTGGTCTTCTGTCTTTCGTAGCACTCTTCTTCACTTCTCTTTTTATTCAGTACAGTGTACATTGGACTCAGCTTCTCCTTCTGTTGTCCATCTTTGCATTGAGTCATCTCTTTCACCATCCTCTTCTCCTCTCTTCTATTAGCTTCCAGGTATCCGTTGACAGCCATTTCTTGTCGTGTCTGTTCTTTATCCCTAGAACAGCTGCACACTTTTCCTTGAACGTCACTTTCAGAGAGTCCCAATGTTCTTCTACACAGGTATCCTCAGTGATGCCAAGTACTTTGTCCGACTTTGCTCTGATATCTGTAGCGAAGGTATCCCTTGTAGTTTTTTCCTTCAGTTTCTGAATGTTGAACTTGAGTTGTGGTTTGTCTCCATTTGTTTTCATGGATTTCAGTTTCAACTTGAAGGTTCCCTGAACTAGATGATGGTCTGAGTCCACATCTGCTCCCCTTCTCGACTTTGTATCCAGCAGGCTGCATCTTTACTTCCTTAAGTAGCATTGAGATGGAATTTATCTGGTTTGTGGTGTGTCTGTCAGGCGAAATCCATGTTGTTTTGTGTATATCCTTGTACTTGTACACGCTCCCTCCGACCACCAGATCATCGGAAGCGCAGAAGTCTGCGAATAATTCTCCGTTCTCATTCATTTCTCTGAGTGAGAGCCTCTCGACCCATAATGAGTTCTCTTCCTGTATTTTTATTTATTTATTATTTTATTATTTCCTGTATTATCTGCTCCCAGTTCAGCTTGCGTTCATATCGCTCATGAGGATTCTGGTGTTACCATTTGGGGTTGTTGTCCATTACTGTTTGTAGTTGTCTGTAAAGGTCTTCATTCTTCTGTTGTTCCGCATTGTTTGTAGTACTGTGCGTAGCTTTGGATAATTGTGACGTCCCTGCGTTCCTTTTGAGCTGAATCTTGCTGTCATGATCCCGGATGAAATTGGTTTCCACTTCATTAGGGCTCTGGCTGCCGCTGGTGACATTATGATAGCCACTCACTCCCTCAATGCGTTCGTGGTTTGGGTGACCGGAGTAGATTATTGACTCTCCGTTGACAATGTTGTTAGTCCACATCCATTCCATCTGCTTTCGCAGATACGCAGCATTTGTATGCCATATCTTCGCATTTCTTTGGCTACCTGAGCAGCTTTCCCAGCCTCGTACATTCTATGGACATTCCACGTCCCCATTCTTATTCTTGCTTTCATCGAGAGAATACACATCGGCTGGCTGATTGGCTTCCCAAAGGCTTTCATCAGCCCGCATCGTTTTGCCTCTCCAATTCAAGCGAATAGTAAGATTGTTATTTGAAGTTTTTGTATTTTAAATATATTTTCTGTGCGTTGAAGTTTCTCTAGCGGTTTGATGGGTTTAGTAGTGTGGGGTTGCTAGCCCCACGCCCAACCCTCCCTCTTTACCCGGGCTTGGGACCGGCTATATAACTAGGCGAGGTTTTAATAGCAAATAGAATATCAAATAAAATTAAAGAAATTTCCAATACAAATTGAGCATCATTGAAACCTTGATCACCAAGGTTAGGACAGTATCTGAACTAGCTTCTTTTGGATACATAAGTTAGATTTCTTGATGTGAATGCCAACGGCCTCAGGAATATGTAGTAGATGAACTCTTAATATTAATGAAGTTAAGACTAGTTTATATGCGGTAGATAACTTTGAAAGCCACCCCGCTAGCATCAATCTTGTGTTCTGTATCCACAAGATGAGATAGAATAGAGCTTTGAGTAGTGGATGACGAAATCATCGAAAAGGATATTCTTTGTTCAATTTTTTTTAAAACTGAATAATGATGATTATTTCAGCGTCGGTGGTACAGCGAATAGGAAGCTCGCCGACCATGCACATGGTTCGAGGTTCGATCCGCGGCCGGCGCATTCCTTTACCTCGTTAAGCCAGTAATAAGACTGGTAAAGAGGAAAGGTTGGGCACGAGGCTAGCAACCTCATCTTGTAAAATTGAACACTGCTACAGAAACTTCAAGCCACTAGCTTGAAGCCCTATGTTCCACTGGGAATGTGAAAGAAAAAAAATTTCAGCTTAAAGTTAATCACAGTCTAGACACATTCATGTTTGTTTACTCTACTTAAACATCTTCAAATGTATTACATTCTTATCTTTTATGGATGTAGTATCTTATCAGTTGACGATGTAAATTTAAATTTTACTATCCATTTTTGTAGATTATTGATGAAGAAAGACAAAATGAAGAGGATACTGAAGATAAGAATCAAATTGTGCTGATGAAGCGTTTGTTAATTGATCTTTCGAAACAAATTATTCTCGTTGATCACTTGAACCCTGTCCTATTATCACAGATTACCCGGCTGACCAAAAAACACAATCCTGCAGCAAAATTTTGGAACTCCATTTTAAATGCAATAAATCCAACTTAAAAAATATTGTTGAACAAAAATAGTTCATTTTTGTTCAAGCTGTTATTATGTACATATTTCTAAGATTCTGTTGTATGATTCTTCTTTTCCAGTTGTTGATTGATGATTGTTAATTTATAATATAAATAAATTGTTAGCGAATATTATATGTGAAGTTGTTTAAAAAAAGGCAGTAAATAAGTCTCCGTGGAGGTGTGGTTAACTGGTGTAGACGCTCGACTTATAGCCAGTGGGTCACGGGTTCGAATCCCTCTCCACCTTCGGAGGTTTGGTCAGCCAGATAATAGCACTTGCCTCCACACACAGGGGGTGTGGCTCATTGCTAACTGCAAGTGGTTGTTGAGTAACGTCTGATTGAAATGAATTTCCACCAAAATATCTAGGTTACCTTCAAAAAGAATAGAATACGCTTCCTTATTACTACTTTTGTAACCATACCACCCACTAGCTAAGTGATAGGAAATATAGCAGCCTATATATTAAGTACTGACGAATTGAATTGTAGTCATTAGTAAAAGTGACATGGTAATGTTAGTGGCGAATTATTGTAGCTATTAGTCTGAACAATTTGTCCACGGAAATTTCTATCATTTATGATGTTTAGTTAGTACTGCTACAAATAATAAATGATATTGTAGGATTTCTAGTAGTATTATACACTGGCTTAAAATGTTCGTAATTGTGCCGCATGTGTTACTGGCAAGCTTTATCAGTAATATACAGACGCAGGCTGATAGGAAGCGACGAAAATTTAAAACAACATTTTAAGCCAATAGCTGCAGAGGTAGGAGTGTTCACTTCTCAATTCTGGATTTAGTTGAAGTCGTGGTCAGGAAGTAACCTCAGTGGACACTTCTCGTCTCAAGGTCTAACTTCAGCAATTCGCCAACCAGTCAGAACACTTTTTCACTCACTGACCTAACCGACCTTTAATTAGGTGTGTTTTCCCCATTAAAAAAGTCCGTTACCAAGTCTCTTGTCTTCTTCTAAGACAGCTGTATCAACATTTTCCTGTCGTAGTTATATACAAACTTATAGGTAAATTACATTCAACACTGAACGCAGAGGACATTTCCTCTTCCAGTGCAATCGTAATGTAGCTGTAGTATATGAGGTAGTTAGCCTCTGTCAGACCTGAAGGTAGTCATCCATACATTTACTAACTGGAGTTTATATTCTTAACAACCATCTGGGAATTTCAGTTTCAAAATTCTTTTTTTCAAAATTAGGTACCTACTTCAGCACAAACTGATATAAAAGAGTTAGTATTTGTCAGCATATGAGTTTTACTACTTGTCAGTAGTAAGATAATTTTTTCAGCTTTTAAGTACTGACGTGTTAGTGAACAGGGATGAGAATTCATTCCTTCGTCTTTCGAGACCACTTCCTATAACTCAAAAAGGACTGTTATAAGTTCATAGTAAATATAAGTACAACTGTACAATCTGAAATAATGGAGAAGCTTTGTAGCTCAGGTGGATGATATTGAACTAGTTGTGTTCTCTGAGCTGGTTGATTTAATAGGTGAATCCCGATGGGTGCATACTGCCTATAAGTCCCAAACTAGGACGAAACAGTTGTATGGTTTTCAGTGGTTCTCTAACTGACATCGAACTTGAAAAAAATCAAAACCCTACAAACTAACTTTTTAAAATAACATAGTGGTTTTGATTGGACACTAGTAACTAGGGTGACGTGTCTAGTCCTTTCTTTGGTTCAGACTAAATTCTATCAGTCAGCTGCAATGTGGCCACCGTTCTAGGTAGCTTGCCATCACAATGCACATTGATTTGATGATATAAGATAGTTGGAGACAGTCGGTCGGAAGCTTTGGACCTAGGTTTCGTGCTAGTTGGCACTCGTCATCCGATTGCCTCCAACTATCTAATATCATCAAATCAATGTGCACCGTGATGGCGAGCTACCTAGTGGAATGGTGGCCACATTGCAAACCTGACTGACAGAATTCAGTCTGCACCAAGGAAAAGACTAGATGTGTCACACTAGTTACTAGTGTCCAGTTAAAGTATCCACTACAGCCTTATGGCACACCAATCGCGAGTCAGAATAACTCAGTGGTAACGTCTCTGACTGCAGCACTGGGTGACGTGGGTTCGACTCTCAGAAGGGACATGAGTTCCTTCAGGGTTGAAGATACGCCTTGCTGACTGGGGAGTGCCAGCTAACACGAAACTTAGGTCGAAGGCTTCCTTTCGATTGCCTCCAGCTATCTAATATCATAACATAATTGTTGTTATTTGCTTAAACTACTATCTAAAGTATTTTTGAAACTTACTTTAAATATGAACAGTTCATTACTACTTGCTTGAATCAGTTTCATTCCCTGATGTGGGACTGTCCAGTGCAATTGAGATATCCTACATTTGTACCTTAATGCTTAAATACTGAGACTAGTCATTTGGACAGTTTGATTATCGACACCTAGAAACAGAACTGGTATGTGTGTTTGACAATTTTATAAGACACAAACCAGTGGATATTAACTTACTGATGTATTTTAAATGTCTAATATATAACGTCAATTCTTTCTGTTTGGTTTGCAGTTTATAATTTACTGACTTCTTACTTTAGCATGGTATCAGTTAAATAAACAATGACAGATAGTGATTAGTGATATATATATATATATATATATATATATGATTTGTTTTTTTAATAAGAGGCTGAACAGAATCTAAATATTAAAATTAACTATATGAAGAACATGTGAATTCATGTTTTACAGGGCTTTTCTTACTGTTAGCTGTGTTAGAATGCTCTACATGTAAAATAGGATTTCTGATGATCATAAGGTATGATGATTGCTTTGAATTTTTATTTTATGTATATGTGATATTAATGTGTCTTTGTCTGCGCGTGCTCCAGTGTACTATTCATACTAGCCACTCATATTCTTTACACAATAATTTTCTAATGGCCTTAATAACATGATCCTATTAGAAGTACATAATAGCCTTTGGAGCATTATACTTTTATCATTATCGACCCAATGTATGTCAGACTAAAAGAAATCTTAATTGGAGAACTAATATCTGGACAGTTATTCTAAATACAGGTTAAAAACTAGTCTAATCTAAACTAGATATTAGAAAGGTGTTTACGAACAATGCAGCTGAAGAGTACGAAGGTTCACCAACTTATGAGTCATTACTTAAAAGGTTAACACCCATTGCTAAATGCTCATTGAACTGTTGTCTATTGATTAAGAGGACTGGTGTTATTTGGAAATACTGGAAGTTCTGATAGATGAGATAGCAAACCATTAGACAGTACTATCACCTAATACTTTTGCTCGAGCAAATACTTATTTGCTTTAAATTCTCATCAGCATACATGTAAGAGAAACAGACTGCACCATATCCTCACAGTTTCTAGAAATACTTAGTTTGATGTTATCTTCACTATATGGTTGAGAACTTGTATCCAACACCATAATTCATCACTAGATTTTCACAAAAGCATCTTATTTCCCAAAGCACCAATGAATTACTTGTCAAACAGGAGACAGCTTGACAGAACCTACCTACATGAGCAGAAAATTCTATGCAAGCAGACTGGAAATTATTAATTCAATAGCAAGATTAACAAGCGTTGAATTACACGAGCAATGTCAAATACAACAGTAAACATTGAACATTACCCTGTTGATCTTGACTCTAGTTCGACTTTGTGATGATGGATGTAGAATAGGTGGGAGCTGGGTGCTTCAGTGCCTGGCGTCAGTGAAATACCATTGCTGTCACTGTTTCTTTACTTATTCGGTGAAACCGGAGAGAAATGAAGCACATGCTGGCATACTTGGTCTAACGCTTCGTGCGTCAGTGTCATGGTCATGTCAGATAAATCGTGGTGCAGATTTCGGTATTTGAGTCTTGATGTTATGTGCAACCCGTTCGGAATACCATGTCAAGTGGTGAGATTTACTAGGTTGGTACGTCTGTCAGATGGTAACACAGGTGTCCTAAGGTTAAACTAATAATGATAACATAAATAAGGAAAAATTTAAAGCACCTACAGTAGCTTTACCATATAAGGAGAGAGGGGACATCTGAAACCCTACGTAAGATTCTGGATAAAGCAGGAATTAGCGTAGCATTCAAACCTCCCAACTCACTCAGAGACTAGCTCTGTAGGCTAAAGGAACCAGTGGACCCAATTAAACGGAATAATATAATTTACAAAATACCATACAATGACTGTGAGTTAGGTCAACTACATAGGTCAGATTAGTAGATAAGGTGTAGTGAGATTATCAGAACATAAAAATTTAGCTAAGGTTCGAGTGATTGATCGCACGAAGATAAGTAATTTAGAAAAAAACTCAGCGATTGCACTGCATGCATTAACACACAATAGGGTGGGAGCGGGTTAAAGTTATAAGAAGTAATGTAGGTAGGTAGAGAGGTTGATTACTGAATCTTTGTTCATGGAATCTATATCCACGTACAATGTAGGTTGCTCAACGCAACTACAAGAGATTTGGAAGATATTATTACCAGTCAAATCAGAGGATAATAAATAATGTTAAAATGCATTCAATTCCCATCATAACACCCTAACAAGTTATTTATTTTACTATAAAAACATCTTATTTGCCATGTGACTGTATTTAATTCATGACACTAATATTATTTCCCAATGTACTTTGTCTTACATTGATTTTATGCAAATGTCTAATCAATTTTTACTCATGTATATAAATGAAGCAAGAAAGTTGTGTGAGTACCTTGATATAATTACGAGCAATAATTTGTGCTCGAAATGTTGTCATCAGTAAATATTACTTACTGTATAACAATATATGATTTTATCAAAATAAAATTTTATCAATAATGGAAGTATACTCGACCACAGTGCCCAAGTTTTATATCAAATGTTACCCTTATTAGTATTATGTTCTTCGCTGTAACTTAAAACTGCACATCTTTCAAACAGAAATGTTGTTTCATCAAAATTAAAAGACATCAAGTTAGCTTTAGAATTCTAAAAAGCATTAAAAAATGTAGAAATTTTAGTGGAAAACAATTGATCAGTGTGTAAAGTAGGTTTTAACTTTCTATGCTTTTTCAATCTTTGATGATCTGAAATAAGATATGTTTATATTGTTATGAAAATGATCAATATC